GCCACGTTTTCCAACCTACCTGGGTACAGTTCATTAACCACTCACAAAGTTGAAACCCTAGACAAGACCCCCTTCGCCAAACCGCCTATCGCATACCCGAAGCAGTTAAAGAAAATATTCAGAAAGAAATTGAGGAAATGATACAGTTAGGGGTGATAGAACACTCTGACAGCCCCTGGGCCTCCCCGGTAGTACTAGTACCGAAACGGGACAGCACGACCCGTTTCTGTGTAGACTACCGGAGGCTAAACGATAAAACAACCTCAGACGCCTACCCTATGCCCCGGATAGACGAGCTCCTAGACAAAATGGCCAGAGGCCAGTACCTCACCACAATAGATCTGTGCAAGGGGTACTGGCAAATTCCATTAGCCGAGGACGCCATCCACAAGTCGGCATTTGTCACCTCGTTTGGCCTGTATCAGTTTAAGGCCATGCCATGCTTTGCAGACCAGGTATCAGTGGTCAGATGGACCCTTGCCCCAACACTGTGTGCCAGACATGCCATTATTTCCTTTTGCACAATCGAGTACAGGTTGGGGATTGCCTTTTGTGAAAAGAAATTTCGTCCGGGTACCAGTGAGTGAGTGGTGGCACTGGCCACAGTATCCACTGTGAGCCTGACACACCCGCTTTAAGGACACTGACTGCTATTCAATCTATAACAGTGAAAAAAGTTTTTTGTTTTTAAATGCAAGCTATTATGACACCAGATATGAGTGGCACTGTGAACTGGCAGAGTACACGCTGTAGGGTTGACACACCCGCTTTGAGACAACTAACTGCTATTCAATCTATAACAGTGAAAAAGTTTTTGGGTTTTAAATGCAAGCTATTGTGACACCAGTGAGTGAGTGGTGGCACTGGGCACAGTATCCACTGTGAGCCTGACACACCCGCTTTGAGACAACTAACTGCTATTCAATCTATAACAGTGAAAAAGTTTTTTGTTTTTAAATGCAAGCTATTGTGACACCAGTGAGTGAGTGGTGGCACTGGGCACAGTATCCACTGTGAGCCTGACACACCCGCTTTAAGGACACTGACTGCTATTCAATCTATAACAGTGAAAAAAGTTTTTTGTTTTTAAATGCAAGCTATTGTGACACCAGTGAGTGAGTGGTGGCACTGGGCACAGTATCCACTGTGAACCTGACACACCCGCTTTAAGGACACTGACTGCTATTCAATCTATAACAGTGAAAAAAGTTTTTTGTTTTTAAATGCAAGCTATTGTGACACCAGATATGAGTGGTGGCACTGACTGGGCAAATGGGCACAGTATCCACTGTGAGCCTGACACAGAAGCTGGCAGCTGTGGCAGACAACTAACTGCAATTACATTACACACAAAAAAAAAAAAAAGCAGACTGATGTTCTAGCCCTAAAAAGGGCTTTTTGGGGTGCTGTCCTTACAGCAGAGATCAGATGAGTCCTTCAGGACTGTAGTGGACACTGTATACCCTAACCTACCTATGCTTTTCCCTATCTAATGAACAGCAGCTACACTTTCCCTCCTCTTACTAAGCATGCAGCTTGAGAATGAATCTAAAATGGATGCTGTCCAGTAGGTGGGAGGGTCTGCTAGGGAGGGTGTGCTGCTAATTGGCTGGAATGTGTCTGCTGACTGTGAGGTACAGGGTCAAAGTTTACTCAATGATGACGAATAGGGGGCGGATCGAACCGCGCATGTGTTCACCGTCCGCGGCGGATGCGAACACGCTATGCTCGCCGGCGAACCGTTCGGTGCATCACTAATCCTAATATGTTTAGTTACCAAAACTAAATCAAGCGCTGAGTGGATCTACCCTCCAATGAGCAAATCGACAATAGTACCACAATAAAACAAAATGGCAATAATAAAAACAATATAAAAAAAAAACAAATTATACTGAAAAATATCCCAGTTATATTGAAAATAGCAGCAATTCTAAGGTGGTGGGTATTTACCGAGTATCCTGTATTCGAGGGTAAGGAGGAAGCAGCACGCAGGCAATGTATCCAGTAAGGAGAAGGTAATTTGGAATAGGACAGAGGCAGTCTAAAATTCAGAATACTGCACTTATTTTTTTATTTTGCAAAAAACTAAATAATTTAGAAAAATGCTATAAAATATATAAAAGTTGTGTCGCTCACTATGTGTTGTGTATCTTTCAATTTTTAACAATTGTATGTGTACTAGTTAGGGCTCTAAAAGATATAAATGGACAATGTTAAGCATCTATCTTAAAACACATTGTTTCCATCTGCACCCTCAATTTAATTCCCAATGTAAAATTTTATATTGCAAAGAAATCTTAAAAATATTATCACATTATCATTGTCCCATGAAACATTATTTATTATTTATTTATAAAATATTTTACCAGGAAAGATACATTGAGATTTCTCTCGTTTTCAAGTATGTCCTGGGTCCACAAATCATTGCATTGTAACATTAGGGTACAATAAAATACAAAAACAATATTAACGGAACACTATAGTCACCTAAATTACTTTAGCTAAATAAAGTTTTAGTGTATAGATCATTTCCCTGCAATTTCACTGCTCAATTCACTGTCATTTAGGAGTTAAATCACTTTGTTTCTGTTTATGCAGCCCTAGCCACACCTCCCCTGGCTATGATTGACACAGCCTGCAGGAAAAAAAAAACTGGTTTCACTTTCAAACAGATGTAATTTACCTTAAATAATTGTATCTAAATCTCTAAATTGAACTTTAATCACATACAGGAGGCTCTTGCAGGGTCTAGCAAGCTATTAACATAGCAGGGGATAAGAAAATCTTAATTAAACAGAACTTGCAATAAAGAAAGCCTAAATAGGGCTCTCTTTACAGGAAGTGTTTATGGAAGGCTGTGCAAGTCACATGCAGGGAGGTGTGACTAGGGTTCATAAACAAAGGGATTTAACTCCTAAATGGAAGAGGATTGAGCAGTGAGGCTGCAGGGGCATGTTCTATACACCAAAACTGCTTCATTAAACTAAAGTTGTTCAGGTGACTATAGTGTCCCTTTAATACACAATAAATACAACATTTAACATAGAACAGGTAGGAAATATATAATCAACCATGACAGGTGCACTCTGTTTTGAAGGATGTAGAGAGGGATCTCTAAAAGAACTTTAGGCTTAGGGAAGATTTTAAATTAAGGATCGGGCTGCTTTCTTTTTGTATTGAGGTAGACTAAGTAAAGTGCTGGTATTGGATTGGAGGTTATGGGAGGTGGGAACAGTAGGGTGGGAGCTTCCCAGAAAAGCTCTTAAACACAAGGCTGGAAAGATGAAGGGTGCGTCTGGATTCCAGCGACAGCCAGTTTAGTTCTTTTAGCATGTCACAATGATGGGTCCTGTAATTACATTGTAGCACAAATCGGCAGAATGAGTTATACAATGTATTCAGTTTATTAATGTGGGATTGCGATGCAGATACTACATCCCCATATTCAATGATTGACATCAGCATTTGCTGTACAATCTTTTCCTTTACTGTAGGGCTTAGGCAGGATTTGTTTCTGTACAGGGCACCTAGTTTTGGATAAAGTTTAGATGCAAGTTTTTCTATGTGCAGTCAGTATAATGTGAATGCTACATACAGGGCTCTCCACGCAGTCAGTATAATGTGAATGCTACATACAGGGCTCTCCACGCAGTCAGTATAATGTGAATGCTACATACAGGGCTTTCCACGCAGTCAGTATAATGTGAATGCTACATACAGGGCTCTCCACGCAGTCAGTATAACGTGAATGCTACATACAGGGCTCTCCACCCAGTCAGTATAACGTGAATGCTACATACAGGGCTCTCCACGCAGTCAGTATAACGTGAATGCTACATACAGGGCTCTCCACGCAGTCAGTATAACGTGAATGCTACATACAGGGCTCTCCACGCAGTCAGTATAACGTGAATGCTACATACAGGGCTCTCCACGCAGTCAGTATAACGTGAATGCTACATACAGGGCTCTCCACGCAGTCAGTATAACGTGAATGCTACATACAGGGCTCTCCACGCAGTCAGTATAACGTGAATGCTACATACAGGGCTCTCCACGCAGTCAGTATAACGTGAATGCTACATACAGGGCTCTCCACGCAGTCAGTATAACGTGAATGCTACATACAGGGCTCTCCACGCAGTCAGTATAACGTGAATGCTACATACAGGGCTCTCCACGCAGTCAGTATAACGTGAATGCTACATACAGGGCTCTCCACGCAGTCAGTATAACGTGAATGCTACATACAGGGCTCTCCACGCAGTCAGTATAACGTGAATGCTACATACAGGGCTCTCCACGCAGTCAGTATAACGTGAATGCTACATACAGGGCTCTCCATGCAGGCAGTATAACGTGAATGCTACATACAGGGCTCTCCACGCAGTCAGTATAATGTGAATGCTACATACAGCTCTCCATGCAGGCAGTATAATGTGAATGCTACATACAGGGCTCTCCATGCAGGCAGTATAATGTGAATGCTACATACAGGGCTCTCCATGCAGGCAGTATAATGTGAATGCTACATACAGCTCTCCATGCAGGCAGTATAATGTGAATGCTACATACAGGGCTCTCCATGCAGTCAGTATAATGTGAATGCTACATACAGGGCTCTCCACGCAGTCAGTATAATGTGAATGCTACATACAGGGCTCTCCACGCAGTCAGTATAATGTGAATGCTACATACAGGGCTCTCCATGTATAAATGCTATATTTCAGGGCAGACATTGTGGGTTTGGATCTGCCACTCCCCAGCCATGACTCTCAGCCAGCCACAGGCTGCAGGTTTTATTTAGAGCCAGAAACAGTGAGGGTACAGGAAGAGCAGCAGCTCCGGACTACATTTCCCGTGATGCTCAGGGCCTGGGTAATGGCTGCCAATGACGTGTCCTGGAAGCCCAGCCCCCAGCACGCAGACCACGCCCACGTTTTAGACCACGGGCGGGGTTAGGCAGCGCTCTGCCCCGGAAGCCCCGCCCCTCGCCGTGGCCGCGCCCTCCGCTCGCTCCCGCCTGGCTTTGTGTGCGGAGACTCGTGCGGCGGCGGCGGCGGAGAGGGAGAGGCGGAGCCCGGAGCCATGGAGGAGCTGAGCGCGGTGGGCGAGCAGGTGTTCGCGGCCGAGTGTATCCTGAGCAAGCGGCTCCGCAAGGTAAACCCCCCCCCGGCCCCAACCGGCCCGCCCGGACACCCCCCGGCCCCCCCACTCCTCCTCCCCGGCCCCAACCTACCCCGGACCGGCCCGGCCGGACACCCCCCTCCCCGGCCGAGTGTATCCTGAGCAAGCGGCTCCGTAAGGTAACCCCGGTCCCCGGCCCGCCTGGACACCCCCCGGCCCCAACCTACCCCGACCCTGGCCGGTCACCCCCTCCACCCCCGGCCCCCCGTTACTCTCAGTGACCCTCTCTCTCTCTCTCTCTCTCTCTCTCTCTCTCTCTCCCGCAGGGCAGCGCCGAGTACCTGGTCAAATGGAGAGGCTGGTCCTCCAAGTGAGTCCGGACTACCGAATTACCGGACTACCGACCGAATTAACCACCGAATTACCGGACTACCGACCGAATTAACCACCGAATTACCGGACTACCTACCGACCGAATTACCAACCGATCGGACTACCGACCGAATTAACCACCGAATTACCGGAAGACCGACCGACCTCACACCCACCGCACAGCTCGTATCCTGCACCCACTTACTTCCAGCTCATCTTATCTCATCCTGTGCCCACCGATCTACCTGTCCTCCTCCGTCTTACCACCACCTGTATTACAGCCTGCCCCCCCTCTCCCTCCCAGCCTGCCCCTACCACATCCTGCCAGCCTTCCCTCCTGCCAGCCTGCCCCAGCCTCCTGCCAGCCGCCCCCCTACAGCCTCCTGCCAGCCTGCCCCCCTACCTCCTGCCAGCTTGCCCCTACCATCCTGCTTGCCCCCTACCACATCCTGCCAGCTTGCCCCCCTCTCCCTGCCACCCTGCCCCCACACATCTGCCAGCTTGCCCTCTCCTGCCAGCCTGCCCCTACCACATTCTGCCAGCTTCCTCTCCCTACCAGCCTGCTCCACCGCCTCCTTCCTGCCTGCCCCACCGCCTCCTGCCTGCCCCCCGCCTCCTGCCAGCCTGCCCTACGCCTCCTGCCAGCCTGCCCCCCGCCTCCTGCCAGCCTGCCCCACGCCTCCTGCCTGCCCCCCCCGCCTCCTGCCAGCCTGCCCCCCCGCCTCCTGCCAGCCTGCCCCCCCACACGCCTCCTGCCAGCCTGCCCCCCGCCTCCTGCCAGCCTCCCTGCCCCTGCCCCGCCTCCTGCCAGCCTGCCCCCCCCGCCTCCTGCCAGCCTGCCCCCCCGCCTCCTGCCAGCCTGCCCCCCGCCTGCCTGCCAGCCTGCCCCACCGCCTCCTGCCAGCCTGCCCCCCCACCGCCTCCTGCCAGCCTGCCCCCCACCGCCTCCTGCCAGCCTACACTTTAAGTGTTCTTGCATAGCAAGACCACTTAATGTTATCTCACATATATATTCTTATTATAGCCAAATTTGCCACCCTAACTCCTCCCACAGTTTTTACACTACATAGACAAAAATTTGCCAAAACCTGCAGATTGTTCCCGATCGGATTGCTATTACTTTGTGGAACGTTTCGTCGAATGGTTCACGGAATATAGTCGTTCTTGTGGCAAAATTTGTCCCATAGGAATGAATGGCAAAGCTAGAGTGGGAGCTGGCAAAAGCTGAAAAATCAGGACATGATTTCTAAACTGCCACCACTCCCTTATTTTCAGGCCCACCTACACAAATCTTATATCAAAGCGTTCAGCTATCCCTGCTGCCACTAAACATGTCAACGGCTAAGCCATAGTCCTGATAGTTTTCACAATATAATCATTTGTTTGCAACTAACGCCGTCCATTGACATTCATTGAAACTTCACTCTACAAAGCTCAAATTTGAAGTGCAATTTCTAAACTGCGACTGTGCCTTCAATTTTAATACTTCAGAGACATACTATGCATCAAAATGTAGGTCTGGGTCTTGTGATTCTCACAATATAAAGCTCTTCGCTGTAGGAGTTATAGTTTTTAAAATACGACCGTTTGAAGATGGCAACCGCCAAAATACTCTGACCTGTGCCAGGCTGCGGCAGCAAGTGATGTCATAGACAGGGCCTTTTGAACACCTGCTAATGTTTTTATAAATGTATGGTTTAATGTAACTGTGCAACAACGTTGCAATTAAATGTGCTATATAAATGATAACAGTTACTCCGCCCACTCCAGTTGTAGACTACTGGTGGAGGCAAGAACACTTCACACAATTTCCCCAGAAATTGTAGCTTTTCTAGTTTTTAAATATATTCTCCTATTGCCATGAGCCGCCTTCCTTTCTCCAAAACATTTCACTTTATCCATTTAAACAGGAGCAACTCCCCCGTCAACCAATATAAACATAAGCAGCTGTACTGTTAGCCATGTAAATACAGACTGCTACTTGGTATCCCATGTAAACAGGCGGCTCGGTATCCCGTGTAACCGGGGCAGCCTTTTGTTATCCCGTGTAAACAGGGGCGGCCTTTTGTTATCCCATGTAAACAGGGGCAGCTCATTGGTGTCCCCCCGTAAACGGGGGCGGCTCGTTGGTGCCCCCCATAACGTTATAAAAAGCTTCTGTTTCCCGTGTCATCTCCCCTTTATTCCATTGTCCCATGTAAATATAAACATGGTGCCTGTCTCCCATGTAAATGTCATTTTATTTTCTCACACATGTGTGAGCCACCCCACATTCTTTCAGGAATTGGTGAGCTGCTTCTGTCATGTAATCCCGCCTGTATCCTATGATGTGTCTCATTCTCTCTCGCTGTATTTAAACATAGAAGTCCTCCCCTCATTGTTACCCCACCCTGTGCCCAGACCACCTATCTCCTTCACTGCGCTATTACCTGCCATCAAGCTTTGCTCCTCTCCTGCACCTCATCCTAATTCCATCCATCCTCTCTCTGTAACTCCCACATGGGTGCCGAGTTTATCTTCCAGACACACACTGCTAATTACATTGTAATCCTATAGCCCATTTGCACAGTTGTGTCCCATCGTCTCTGGGGGGGTTATTGTATTCAGAAAAAGCACTTCTGCCGCTGTTTTTAGTTCTTTAGTGTGTTTTGTGTAACATAACACAATATTATTCAATCCCAAGGATATTTAACAGGTATCTTCGGTCACCATAAGATGCTCCCCGGCCCCTTAACATCTCACAACAAACCGAAACCTCCTCCCCACCACCTAATCTATGTATAATTTATCACCTGTATTTATTATTTAGAAAGCTCCTTGTTTCACAGCAGCCAGTAAGTAATGTCCCTGCCTCCCAGATGACCCACAATCACCACTCACAGCATCCTCTGTTACTCTATCAGGCATAAACAAGTGTCAGCTGTTAGGATCCTACATCTTGCCTGATGACTGGAAAAGGATCATGGGACATGTAGTTTTACAGCTGATGCATCACAGGATATTTACAATTGATTCTGGTCCCTCAGACTTCAAACTTCCATACCCACTTTATCTTTGTTTTGTGGGAGGATGGGGCGCAGTGTGGCAAAGTGATCAAATTTGTGATTTAAGTTCTGCTCGTTCCAGGCACAACAGCTGGGAGCCGGAGGAGAATATTTTGGACCCACGGCTGCTCTTGGCTTTCCAGAAAAGGTAGGAATTCTGGATATTATTATTTCCAGACATTATAATGCATCTCCAATGCACTGTCTGATCTGTGTTTCTAGTGATGTTACCGAAAGGCCATTGCCTGCATTCCTGCTCGTATTATTTGGCTGCAGTAGGAATCCGGTTACAGTCTGGCATTAGGGAATTGTGTGCATTTGATGTGACCTCTCGTATCTCTATTGACAGGGAGCAGGAAAAGGAGCTGCGAAACAGAAAGAGGGGTAAAAGACCAAGAGGACGTCCACGTAAAAACGTGGTAAGATTCATTTAGGGAATCTCCTTTTGTCTCTTCATTTTGGATATTGATTATAATTTAGGGCCTGAAAATATTAAAGAATCTTGCCTTACACTCATCCGGGTTTTTTTTACAAGTTTACTTTAAATCTGCCATTTTTTAGGATATTGTTTTTTTTACTTCTATAGTATTAGCTTAGTATTAACTCAGCCCCTCACCACTGGTGTATTGAAATTTAGCCCTAGTGGGAATTGTAGTCCAACTGCCTCCAAGTACCCAAAGTAAGCAGATTATTTATTCGAGTCTTCTGGGCCAAAATCTCTGCTGGTGAGGCTGAGTGCCACGTCCGATACCTGGATCTGAGCAAGCACTGATTAGTACAGCTTGCACTGTAGAGCAAATCAGGACTCGAGGTACTCTAAGCATTATGATCTCTATAGCTTACTATAGTAATTATGTTGCAAGCAGCCTTTATTTTTTATTATTCCCTCCTCCAAACCCCCCATCCCATCTTAAAGTGTGGCGTTCCTGACAACTAAAGGCTAATAAACCATTTTCCATTTTGATACTGCAGAGGTGAATGTAAATTTAAATTTCATTCATTAAAAGCATACAGCTTTATTTACTAAAGTGTCCGCTTTTGAGTTCATAGTCAGTTTTCGAATTTTAGGCTTGAATAGGTGACCTTAAAACACTGCTGACTTGAAGAACTTTTCCATTTCAGGTATTGTGCCCTAAAATGTAACAAAGACAAACCAGACTGGCAACATGTAGGCAAAATGATCCCAGCTGTGACTGTAGGTCAGTTAGAGAATATTAAATAAACTGTGAATTCAGTTCACTGTGTGCAAAGTTTAGATTCTCTGTGTTCCAAGTTTAGAACCTTGAGGAATTACTCTGATAATGCAGACATACCTGTGGAATGCTAGCAAATCCATTCTTTCAATTTTATTCACAAATTAATCATTTTTGGCATATCCGTCTTTACTTCTAGAGGTATGACACCAACGCATTGTCTCTGCCATTACTAGATGCTAGCTTAACCTGTTCTGTCATTTAGCAGCAGCTAGGAAGATGCCTTCGTAATAATTCCATAGCACTTTGGTGTTCTGCTTCCTAAACAAAGGTATTAATTCTCTTCCTACACCCGCCTGTCGGTTCCTTCCTACACCCACCTGTCGGCTCCTCCTTTCACCTGCCTTTTTTTATTTATATTTGGTTCATTTACTAAACTCCCTACTGCAGCAAATTACAGTCCATACAATAAAATGTAGGACAAAATATCAAAACAGACTACAGCTGAGCTGGGTAATTTTTCCTGAACTCACCTTGGATCTATACATTTTCGAGTTCAGTGAATACCCCCAACTGTGACTAGTAACTGGTTTTAAATAGACTAGTTCTCTCCAGCCACAGGAGCTGTCAAAGAAAATAAACTGATAGTTCCCCTTTACTGGCCTTTTTTTGGAACACCGTTTGCCTTCACCTTCCTAATGGCTGTTTCCCTTTAAATAGGTTAGTGTACGTGCACGCTCTCGAAATGTGAGTTTTAAAATCTTATCTCCGTCTCCCTGCACCGTAAAGTCTAGAAGCCTTGTTTTACAATGCTCTAGGACAATGGGAGCTTGATACCTGATGTTTAACTGGCTTTCTGCTGTTAATCATTATATGTCGGAGTTTGACCAACAGCCTTCCTTTCCTGCTTTAAAGAAGCTGCCACAGGAGGGATTTTCACATCAATAAACCGCAAGAATAATTAAAATAATATCTTTTTAAAGTGACCAGAACATTTTTGATTAAGAGAAATATCTCAATGGAGCATTAAAAATACATGACTTATCCCACCAACCCAAGTATTAGAGATTGCTGTGCGTGGGAGATGACATTATCAAACGTCTTGTCGCCTCCTACTCCATAAATGTATTTTTTTTTATTATTTTTTTAAATCACCCTTTGTCTTCTGATCAAACTTCACTGCCCATTCTTTTAGGTCTGCTCAATAAACAAATTGTAGCAAACTGAAATCTAAATGACAAATTTCAGGCAGAAATAGTCCAACGTGACTATTTTAGTCTACATTTTACCATTCAGATTATGTTTCTCGGAAATTATAAATCTAACTATACCTTTTTCTATATAGATATGTATGTTTCTCATGTATTTACTTATTTTTTACATTTGGAGGGACACTTTTTATTTTTTTTTTTCTCCTGTATTCCTTTTCCTCAACATTTGTCACAAACACGCTGTCTTCAGGGTTTTAACAGGCTGAATGCACCCCTTGTTTTAAATTGGTGCTAGAATTAAAACGGGGATTCCTATCTGGCAATACATTTATAAGATGTATGTATGTCCATCTAGTAATGATTCCGAACACGTCTAAGCCACTAATGAAAGTGTGTGTGTGTATATATATATGCCTTAAAAATCTTTCTCTCATTGAAGAGTGCATTGGTCTAAAGTTTGGGAACCAGTGGTTATAGGTGTCACAAGACCTTTGACAAATGTCACAATTGTTAAAGGATCACTATAGGGTCAGGAACACAAACCTGTATTCCTGACCCTATAGTGTTAAAACCACCATCTAGCCCCCCCTGGGCTCCTCATGCCTCCCTAAAAATAGTAAAATCTTACTGTATTCAAGCCTGAAGCAATAGATCTGCATGCTGTTAGACTCCGAAAAACAAGCTGTCTGCTGACATCAGCAGAAGTGGTGGCCTGATCCAATCACAGTGCTTCCCCATAGGATTGGCTGAGACTGACAAAGAGGCAGATCAGGGGCAGAGCCAGCATGATTCAAACACAGCCCTGGCCAATCAGCATCTCCTCATAGAGATGAATTGAATCAATGAATCTCTATGAGGAAAGTTCAGTGTCTACATGCAGAGGGAGGAGATACTGAATGTTTGGATGCATTTTAGGCAGCCATGACCCAGGAAGGATCTCTAACAGCCATCTAAGGAGTGGCCGGTGAAGTTATCACTAGGCTGTAATGTAAAGACTGCATTTTCTCTGAAAATACAGTGTTTACAGCAAAAAGCCTGAAGGTAATGATTCTACTCACCAGAACAAATTAAATAAGTTGTAGTTGTTCTGGTGACTGTAGTGTCCCTTTATATAAACTTTACTGATTTAAAAGGGAAAGTGTGTGAGCTTGCCCTCCTCTCTGAAAGCAATATGGGCCCAAATTAGCTGGTAATGTCTCATTATTTTTTTTATTTATTTTTTAATTAGGAGATGCATCCTTTTTTTTTTTTTTGGTATTAACTTTATTATTGTGATCCCTGCATTGCTTATGTTATGCCAGGGCTTCACAATTTTGCTTTGAATCTAGGAGCCAGCAAAAACAATTTATGAGCCAGGTTTTTCAATGTCAAAAATACAATTCTTAAAGGGACACTATATAGTCACCAGAACCACTACAGCTTAATGTCTATAACCTTTCCCTCCACACTTTTCTATGTAAACCCTGCCTTTTCACAGAAAAGGCAGTATTTACATTGTTGCCTAGTAACACATCTAGTGAGTCACTCAGCCTCTAGAGTGCATCCTGGGTCAGTGCTGCACAGTACACAGCACCTGCGTTTAGCGTCTGCATGGAGGCGCTGAATGTTTCCCATAGAGATGCATTCATTCAATTCATTTCTTAGAGGAGATGCTGAATGGCGCAGTATGGTGTTTTGCCACACATGCACAATAGTTGACCTGGCGCCTGGGATTTGTCGAGCCCTGCGTTATGCACTCTAGGGCCTATAGAGGCATGATAACACTGGGACGCAGGGCTGTTCCAAGTTGTTTATTTTGTGGTACTCCTGTTTGAGTGTGCTCACGGTTAGGGCTTTGCTGCTGGGCTTGAGGGCGCTCCCTGTAGATGCCTTAATTGGGCTGACTCTTGCGCCAGTTTTCGCGCGTGTGCACTTGTACATGTAGTAAGCATGCGTGGGTGCTCTGACAGTCGGCAATGCTGGACGTTACATCCATTTTTCTTTTTTTTTTTTTGTCATATAGGATCTTATAGGGAGGGAGCTGGGACAGGGCTTTCCTATGCAGAATTTTAATAAGCCCATATGTGATTTGGGGATTTTTCCATCCATTTATTCTGAGTTTCTGTTATTGTTATTTTATTATTTTTCACTTGTTGACATCCATGGTCATGTGATCATTGATGGGTGATGCTGATTGAATTGAGGTATATCATGTGATCATTGATGGGTGATGCTGATTGAATTGAGGTATATCATGTGATCATTGATGGGTGATGCTGATTGAATTGAGGTATATCATGTGATCATTGATGGGTGATGCTGATTGAATTGAGGTATATCATGTGATCATTGATGGGTGATTGAATTGAGGTATATCATGTGATCATTGATGGGCGATGCTGATTGAATTGAGGTATATCATGTGATCATTGATGGGCGATGCTGATTGAGTTGAGGTATATCATGTGATCATTGATGGGCGATGCTGATTGAATTGAGGTATATCATGTGATCATTGATGGGCGATGCTGATTGAATTGTGGTATATCGTGTGATTATTGATGGGCGATGCTGATTGAATTGAGGTATATCATGTGATCATTGATGGGTGATGATTGAATTGAGGTATATCATGTGATCATTGATGGGTGATGCTGATTGAATTGTGGTATATCATGTGATCATTGATGGGTGATGCTGATTGAATTGAGGTATATCATGTGATCATTGGGTGATGCTGATTGAATTGTGAGATATCATGTGATCATTGATGGGCGATGCTGATTGAATTGAGGTATATCATGTGATCATTGATGGGCGATGCTGATTGAATTGAGGTATATCATGTGATCATTGATGGGCGATGCTGATTGAATTGAGGTATATCATGTGATCATTGATGGGTGATGCTGATTGAATTGTGAGATATCATGTGATCATTGATGGGTGATGCTGATTGAATTGAGGTATATCATGTGATCATTGGGTGATGCTGATTGAATTGTGGTATATCATGTGATCATTGATGGGTGATGCTGATTGAATTGAGGTATATCATGTGATCATTGGGTGATGCTGATTGAATTGTGAGATATCATGTGATCATTGATGGGTGATGCTGATTGAATTGAGGTATATCATGTGATCATTGGGTGATGCTGATTGAATTGTGGTATATCATGTGATCATTGATGGGTGATGCTGATTGAATTGAGGTATATCATGTGATCATTGGGTGATGCTGATTGAATTGTGGTATATCATGTGATCATTGATGGGTGATGCTGATTGAATTGAGGTATATCATGTGATCATTGATGGGTGATGCTGATTGAATTGAGGTATATCATGTGATCATTGATGGGTGATGCTGATTGAATTGAGGTATATCATGTGATCATTGATGGGCGATGCTGATTGAATTGTGGTATATCGTGTGATTATTGATGGGCGATGCTGATTGAATTGAGGTATATCATGTGATCATTGATGGGTGATGATTGAATTGAGGTATATCATGTGATCATTGATGGGTGATGCTGATTGAATTGTGGTATATCATGTGATCATTGATGGGTGATGCTGATTGAATTGAGGTATATCATGTGATCATTGATGGGCGATGCTGATTGAATTGAGGTATATCATGTGATCATTGATGGGCGATGCTGATTGAATTGAGGTATATCATGTGATCATTGATGGGCGATGCTGATTGAATTGAGGTATATCATGTGATGGGCGATGCTGATTGAATTGAGGTATATCATGTGATCATTGATGGGTGATGCTGATTGAATTGAGGTATATCATGTGATCATTGATGGGTGATGATTGAATTGAGGTATATCATGTGATCATTGATGGGTGATGCTGATTGAATTGTGGTATATCATGTGATCATTGATGGGTGATGCTGATTGAATTGAGGTATATCATGTGATCATTGATGGTGATGCTGATTGAATTGAGGTATATCATGTGATCATTGATGGGTGATGCTGATTGAATTGAGGTATATCATGTGATCATTGATGGGTGATGCTGATTGAATTGAGGTATATCATGTGATCATTGATGGGTGATGCTGATTGAATTGAGGTATATCATGTGATCATTGATGGGTGATGCTGATTGAATTGAGGTATATCATGTGATCATTGATGGGGGATGCTGATTGAATTGAGGTATATCATTAATTTCAGGGGTTTATACAGAGTAACCTTATTCCCTGGATTTCCATGCTCCCTTGACAGACAATTTTGTTGAAACGTTAGGATTTGTTCTATTTTGCTCTGGTCCCTTGCCTCTCACACTGTTTTCTTGTGTTATCTGCTCTTTGTTTTGGTATGTATTTAGACGGTTTTTGAACACCTGTGTACATTTTTGTGATTATTTTTGATTGTTTTTGGTGCTTCTTTCTTTAGGTTTTTGTGTTCGTTGTATATAGGTTATGACTTTAATTTATGTATATCGTATTACCCTTGTTCATTTATCCAGTCAGCGACATGCAAATATGTGCATGAACCCCTTAAGGACACATGACGTGTGACATGTCATGATTCCCTTTTATTCCAGAAGTTTGGTCCTTAAGGGGTTAAGGGTAAACAAAACCTTGAATTTGCGCTATATGTCTGTTCAGGCGTAATTCACCTCTTTCATGTTACCGTATATACTCGAGTATAAGTCGACCCGAATATAAGCCGAGGCCCCCTTTTTACCCCCCAAAACTTGGAAAACTTATTGACTTGAGTATAAGCCTAGGGTGGGAAATGCAGCAGCTACTGGTGAATTTCTAAATTATATTAGATCCCAATAAAATTACATTCATTAAATGTGTGTGTGTGTAAACTGGGTGGGGGGAGGGCATTTTTATTTTAATATTGTTAATATTTTTTTATTTTAATATATTTTTTATTTTTTTTAATATATTTTTTTTGTCCCCACTCCCTGCTTGATACCTGGCCAGGGAGGGGGGTGCTATATTATTCCCTGGTGGTCCAGTGGCATGGGCTTTGCAGGAGGGAGGCTGGGCATCCTGAAAGTGAGAGTCCACAGAAACTAGAATATGGAGGTGTGCTACTGAACTACTATTCCACACAGCATGTGGAATACAGCCAGAATAGCTCTGACAGCTATTGCCCATTGCTGAGTTAATCTGCTATAAATTATATTACTAAACTAATTAATACTACTAGTTGTATTTAGTTTGAGTGAAGATAAAACACACTGAACTGGAAGTGGCAGGAGGGGGGCTGGGAGCAAGCTGTTACTTACCTTTGCAGCCGCTCCGTTCAGCTCCCTTCTCTTCCATTCCGGTCAGCTCACTGTGTAAATCTTTCGGCCTGCGTGCCGCTCGGAGCGTTGCCACGGTAACCCGTGGCAACGCTCTGACGGCCGCGGGTCTCGCAAGATATACACAGTGAGCTTACCGGAACAGAGGAGCTGAACGGAGCGGCTGTAAAGGTAAGTAACAGCTTGCTCCCGGTCCCCAACAGGACCGCCTGGCTTGTAATGAGCCCAGCGGTCCTGGTCTGTAATATGGCAATGTAAGTTGCCGTAATACAGACAGTGACTCGAGTATAAGCCGAGGGGGACTTTTTCAGCACAAAAATGTGCTGAAAAACTCTGCCTATACTCGAGTATATACGGTATGTGCACCTACACTTATTATATATCATTTTATTCAGGGGAAACGGCTTTCATGTCACATCAAATATTTAGGTATGAAACATAATTTAATATGAATAAAATGGGAGAAAATAAGAATTTAAAATTTTTTTTTAGTTCTACGTGAAATTTTAACTGTGAATGTCATCATGCTGTTTGCTTTTACTGCAATAAAATACACATATTTGTATTCAGCGATGTCTCACGTGTAAAACAGTACCCCCTATGTACAGGTTCTATGGTGTTTTGGGAAGTTACAGAGACAAAAATAGCAGGTTACAGTTTCCAGTTTTTTTCCATTGAAATTCGCCAGATTGATTACGTTCCCTTTGAGACCGTATGGAAGCCCAGGAATAAGAATTACCCCCATGATGGCATACCATTAGCAATAGTAGAGAATCAAAGGTTTTGCAAATGGGGTATGTCCAGTCTTTTTGAGTAGCCACTAAGTCACAAACACTGGCCAAAGTTAGTGTTAATATTTGTTTGTGTGTGAAAAATGCAAAAAACTTATTTGAATGCCAATTTTGACCAGTGTTTGTGACTAAGTGGCTACTAAAAAAGACTTGAACATACCCAATTTGCAATACCTTGGGTTGTCTACTATTGCAAATGGTATGCCATCATGGGGGTAATTTTCATTCCTGGGCTACCATACAGTCTCAAAGGCAATGTAACAAACCTGGCAAATTTCAGTGTAAAAAAACGGAAGCCTATTTGACTCTGTAACTTTTGAAAACGCCATAAAACCTGTACATGAGGTGTACTGTTATACTCTGAAGATTTCGCTGAACACTGAAATGAAACACTGATTATATCGTCCGTGTAAGTGCCATTTGTGTGTAAAAAAATGTCACTTTCACTGACGATATCATCATTGTAATACATTTCACTGTTTTGAAACACTAATATTTGTCTTTAGCGAAGTCTTCCGCGTAAAACAGTACCCCCTATGTACAGGTTTTGTGGTGTCTTGGAAAATTACAGGGTTAGATATAGTGCTAGCAAATTAAATTCCCTGGGCTTTTGGCCTGGGTTGTCAGGCAGGTCCTGCAAATTGTAATTAATAAAATGACCGAATTATGTTAAATTATTACATAACTATAGACTTAGAATTATTATTTATATATAATATATGTGTGTGTATATATAATTTTTTAAATTATTTTTATTCATATATAGTGATGTATATAGATATATATTTAATTCTACGTGTATTTTGATATCAATTTATATATTTTAAAATACAGTTAGAACAAAATTACACATATATGATTTATTTATTTTTTACTGTATTTACATATTTTTAAATATTATATATAAATATAATATATTCAATATCATTCTACGTGTATTTTGATATTTATATATACTTAGACTGTGTGTGTGTGTTACTTTTTATGGGGTGTGCTGCCATTCATTCTGTCCATCTTTATCATGGACGTGGGCAATTTTTAACCTGATATGTGATGGTGCAGAGAACCTGGGATGGTAAATGGTAAGACCTTAATGTACATCAAACATTCCACAAGTTCGCTGCTTAAACATTCCTATGGTACACTAGCAGTTAAGAATTATGTATGCATGTTGCTCTGTTGACTGCAAAAAGTTAGTCATGACTGGTATAGTAATTTTACATGTTGTTAGAATTGGAGTTCTTGACTTTAATTTCTATTTTTTGTCCTCCATAGGAAACAGAGGTTCCTCCAAAGGCAAAGTCAAGCAGTTCTTCTTCCTCCTCCTCTTCATCGTCATCATCCTCTTCGTCCTCTTCATCTTCCGATGACGACAGCGATACTGAAACGCATCGTGGTCCAAGACCGAGAGAATCACACCCAGTGCCGCAGAAGAAGGCACAAGCCGTGGTGGCCAGGCCAGAGCTGAAGGACCAAGTGCGTAAAAAGCGAGGAAGGAAACCATTGCCTCCTGAGCAGAAGGCACCCAGAAGAGCAAAAGGGCTGAAACCTGGACCTAAACCAGGCAAACCACCAGGGAACAGTACCCAGGGATTCACTGCCCTCAAAACCCTTTCCAAAGATGCACCAGTTTCGAGCAACAACCGGCCAGGTGGTCTGTCTGCAGAGCTACTCTCCAGCATTGCCAAGAACTCTCCCAGTCAACCAAATGGGAGCTCACCCAGAAGCCTTAGTTGGCAAAGCTCCATCGTTCATTACATGAACCGTATAACTCAGAGCAACTCACAGCCCGGCAGAAGACCAGTCAGCTCCCCTTTTGGTGCAAAGAGGACCTGCCCAGACCCCAAAAACACTTCAAAAGTAAGGGCAGATGATGACACTGCCCCTAGCAAAGCCCCTAATATCCAAGACTCAGAGGAACAGACTCGTCCAAACACTGGGAGTCAACCTGTGTCTGGAGGGGTGTCAGCCAGCAGAGAGAGCACCAGTCAGACGGTACCTGCCCAAAGTAAGAATCCAGCCACAACAGCCTCGTCAGCATTCAGTGGGAACCAAGAAGTAAACCATCCTTCAAAAAATAATGCTCCATCCTCTCTCGGGGCGGCTGCTGGATGTAAAGCAGATAAGGTGGTGCGGAAGACAGGTGGAGCAGGCACAGTCAGCTCACCGGCTGCAGGACCCCCAGCCCGCATTTCTACTGTTGAGAAATCTCAGCAGGTGGAAGGGCACAGACAGCTGGCAGAGCTAAGCACTGGAGACGACAGCAGTTTGGATTCTGACCATGACTCCTCTCTCTCCAGCCAGGACATGTCTGTACAAGCCAGCCAGGACTGGAAACCAGCCCGCAGCTTACTGGAGCACGTCTTCGTGACCGACGTCACTGCCAACCTTATCACAGTCACGGTCAAAGAGTCTCCTACCAGTGTTGGCTTCTTCAACATGAGGCACTTCTGAAATCAAGGGATGTAGGACCAATACTCCACACAATACACCTCAGCAAAGACTTTTCCTGTACAGGGTTCTTCGCATGCTTCCTCAGTCTAATTGTAGCGAGATCATCAGGATTCTGCCTGTTATACCTTTGACTGCCTTTATTTTTTTATTTAATTTTTTCCAGGGATCTGTCACTATATAAAATCTTCATCTCATTTTTGCATTCCATGCAAGGTGGCTTGCATTGCATCGGACAAATACCAAAACGTGTGTTTATCATTTCGATTAAGCTTTCTCCATGTCTTTTGAGAAACTCGTACCATAATTAGCTGGTTTGTCGCTACTGAGCAGATTTAAAAAGTGTGCTACTTACTCAGACTGATGGAGTGTGTCATATATCCTAGAAGCCCTTTTGGTGTTTTTGCCCCGGTAGATGTTTTGGGGGTGTCCAGCCACGTAGGGCAACTAACACATAACATGCTTGCTGGGGGGGAGGCGGGTGGTGATAGTTTGAGAAACTGTTTATTAAACATATTTACTGTTTAAGCCTTAAATACTGGAAGATGGGCAATTTACTTGCGCATCCAGCACCTCAATGGTGCAGCCTGTTAATGAAGAATTAGCAATATCTTGCTATGTTTTTTTTTCTTTTCTTTTTTTGTGTGTGTGTTTTTTTTTTTTGTTAGAGACCATTTGGCATTACCGCCAGTAAATCGTGTAAGCATATTTTAGTTTATCTCCGTACAAGTCATGAAAAATCGCTGGTGATGTTTGAAGTGACTAGGAAGCCATCGTTAAGACCATTTCTGTCTCTGGTCAAACTCTGCCTTTTCCCTCCCGCAGACGTAGCCTGCCTTTGGAAAGCTTCTGATCTGTACTGTGCAGGGAAGCTGTGTGACCGTGCCTCTACTTCCTATTGGCAGCTACAACATTATAGTGTTAGACAGTCCATAAATTGACAATTCCTCCGTAGTTGAATTCAGAACCATTGTGCAATAGATTTACTTGTATTATATAGTATTTCATTACGACTTGTGCTCTTACCCCATAACTCTGTGCCTTTAAAACTTCCTGTAGGGAGCTCAGCTTTCTAACATCCATATAAACCCCTATGTGATCTGGTGGCCCACGCTTTACTTATGGTATTCTAAAGGGCGTTATTGATTTAGTGGAGAAGAGCTTTTACATGAGAGAGTGATTGGTGTACCAAATCATTGGACACTGGTAATGGCTGCAGGAGACAAATTCATGGCCGCATCTTGCATCCAAATCTTACAAAGCAATAAGAAACATTGATTTATTTTTTATTTCACCATCTGCAGCCAAGTGCCTTATAGCTCTAGATAGGTAGCTGCATGAGGCATTTTTCCGGCCCTTTAATGACTTTTTCTAGCCAGTCTGGTATTGCGTGGCCCCTTTAAGGAGATGCTTATCTCTGCACAATGAATATTAAGTGGCCTTTTTACTTTTTTTATAATGGTGATAGAAGCCTTACTGTACTGGGTTACATGTAACAACTTTATTCTTTTTGTAATTTTCCAAGTTTACCTAATGCACCGTGGCTAGCCATGTATTCCTGTTTTCTTGCCGGTGATATGCCTAGAGCAGGTAGGGGTTTTCTTTAGTAAATGCCGTTATTTATATACGTACGGTTTGTGCTTGCTGTTGTACAACCAGTTAACTTGTTCTCTGCCGCTGTTTCCTGTTACCTGGTGACCCAACTTGACTGGAAACGTTCTGTATTTAGAAATAGCAGCAGAGAGTATGATTTAGCTCCTCTACAGCAAAACATCAGAAAGAAAAGAGCAGAAACTGCTCATTTGATTTCAGTTATAGCGTGCATGTAAATCAATGCTACTTGCCTTGCTTAAAGCAGCTCTGTCACCTTCTGACGACCTCCATGCTTGCTGCGTGGTGTCCCTTGCGTGATGATGTCTATGGTCTTCAGTTCCTGTCACTACATCCGCCGGATGCTCACGTCAGCTATACATTTGTACACGCGTGAGAGTACAACACTGTCAATGGTGGATTCATAAATAGTCTCTCGCATACTGACAGAATGGGAACACGGTCGCTCCGGTCCTTGTTACGTTTAGTCAACTTGACGATTTAACATAAGACAAAGTAGTTCCTGCTTTGTCTAATGATCTTTTAACTGCGTTGGAAGCTCAGTGGAATTCCTACAGTTTTTAAGAACATTTTTTTTTTTTTTCTCTATGAAATGCTCATTTTTCGTGGGGATGTGACAGACTGGCTTTAATAAACGTAATGGTTGCTGTCCGTGTGTTGCATAAAACAAAATGTAAAATGTTTTGTAATTGGCCCTGCCTCCAACTTCATTACCAGCAGTAAGTGGAGTGCTGCTCATTGTATCCCTTCCTGATATTATGAGCAGCAGTCTTGGGGAGCTTGTTGTAAGGCCTTACAGAACTAATCAACATTCCGCCTGTAGGGTGTTTAATTGGTTACGATGTTAAAGGGCTGGTTTGTAGGCAAACCAGACTGTTGGGAGAGTTTATTCCAATATGTTAAAGTCTTGTTTACTCTCCCAACTTTTTTTTTTTTTTCTCCTCTACAATCGCCTCACACAATTCAATGCAGACTTTTTTTTTTATTTTTTATTATATATATATATTTTTATTTTTGTAAAATTCTCACAGGAGACAATCTATGTAAAAGTGGTCATGGAAGTTTCACCATGCTAAAACTAATCCTATTGTATAGCTTTAAGAGTTGGCAGGCTGGTAAAGTTGCCACTGGTCGAGATCTTGGATTTCGTGATTCTCACCTTCATTTTCCTATTGTGTTTCTGTAACATTACATAATCGGTAACAAACGGTTATCGGTTACCTGTTCACTTGTACCCGTGACTTACCCAAGTATTCTCTGTATCGGGTGACATTACATTTTTCCTTGAATTTACCTAATTGACTGCATTTTTGGCCTTGAAATGCAGTATCTTGAGACATTTCATCTCTGAATCAGAAGTGTTAGGAATCACAGCGACACCTCTTCCTCAGTTAGATAAAAATACTATTTTTTTTTTCATTTTGTTACTTTTGTAAAAGTCTGAGGCTGGTTCTGATCTCACATAAAGGGTTTGTGACATCGTGCAGCTATTAGTCATTTTATCCTGTATTTGTGTTATTTTGGTTTCGTAAAAAATATATATTTTAATACCTTTTTCTTTGCGGTTTTAATATAATGCTTCTAGATATTTAGTTCGCTTTTAATTTATTTGCATAAAACACTAGGGAAACTTCCTTGTAAACAGAGTTTTGTACACGGATTTTTTTTTTTTTAATGTAGAATATCAATAAAATATTTTTGTAATCTTGTACATGTCCTGGTTTTTATTATGCCATCTTTGTACATATGCCATCATACAGAAATTCTTCAAGGACCATAACCACTACAATTCTCTGTAGTTGTTATGGTGACAGTAATGTAAGTCGTCAGATCTGCCTGGCATTGCTTGACTCATTCGGTGAGCACAATCGGTTAAGCTCTCAACCAATGAGCTGGCCTTGCACGGCATGAGCCTCCGGCTCTTAATATTGGAAGCTACTGGAACCTGTTAAACCCCTAGCTAAGTTGACTATTAACAGACTACGTTCATTGGAGAGGGTGTCAGCGCATTCCTTTCACCAAAGCAACGGCACTGTAGTTATTATGGTACTTGATGTGTTCCTTTTAACTGTATATCATTGAGCAAGGGTATATGGTACCATGTGCTTCCATATTCTGAAGTCAATTCTTTGCACATTACCTGCTGACAATGTAACACAGGGAGTTTTTTTTTTTTTTCTCAACTAAACTCAGGTGTAGCGAATTGATATCCGAATGGTATCATTGAGACTAAGGTAGCTGATTTGTATAAATTCTCCAATTCAGTTATAGTCCCACTGTGGCTGTTTTTTTTTGCCCACATTCTGCCATTCCAATTTCAATTTGCTACATTAAGCAGTTTAGTGAATGAATGCTTTCTTCGAAATACATGTGAGTGCTTTGGAGTAGACCCAAAAATACTTTTTCCATAATCTGATGGAGAGCCGAAAATTGGATTTCTGTGGGTTGAAGTTAATATTTTATTAAATCTAGAAATTAACATTATCTGTTAATGAAAATCTTCTATACGATAAAGCCACGTACCCCAATGCTCAGTTGGTAGCTTTCATTTATTGCAGTCAAATCCAGTCTGTCATAGGATTTCTGAAGTTAAAATTAAAGTGTCTTCCCTTAATACCATTTTAAAAGATCACATTTTAAATTATTTCAATTGTCACTGGCTCCGGCTGAGACTATAAATCATGTTTTAAGTGGGTGTTATGGTTGCAGTAACAATTACCCTGAGTCTGCCTGTTTGGGAATTAGATTTGCTTCCCATAACAGCAATAAATGTCCTTAACACTGTGTGTGAATAAAGTGTATCTAATCTCTCTCCGTTCATATTGCCAGTTGAAAGCTGATGCAAGAAATTCTAGCTGTTTCTCTCTCGGTGCTGTTGCTCTCACAAAACCTGCCTCTACTTCCCATTTCAGACAGTCTTCTTCTATCTGTGCTGATTGGTGTAAACTGACTGAGAGGAGGGTTGTTTTTTGTTTTTTTGTTTGTTTACCTGATTTATTGAGAAATCAAAACATTTGCTAACAATGTTTAGATGAAATTTGGTTATCAATCAAGATTGTTTGTCATGAGATACCATTTAAAATACATTACAGCTCCTCCTTGGGGACAAAGTGCATTTCTTTCATTGCCAGCATGTTCTATACACCCCACAGACTTGAGACATGGTTGATGGGGTTAGTAATCACTGATGAAGAGCTGGGGACCTGCCCGCTCTCCCTGTCTCACTCCTTGACTCAAACCTGTATGTTTGCAAGCATCGTGGCTGTTGGGTGATTAGCAAGTGAGGGACAGTGAGTGTGTATGTATAATTTATGAATTTGCTTGCATTTCTGTTTGTACTTGTATAGATGCAAAATTTTATTGGTTTTTAAAGGAACACTCCAAGCACCATAACCACTGCATCACACATGGATAACACACAAATTAGCATCTGGCTCTCTTAGCAGTGTGACCTCTTACAATGATGGCTCACCAGTGCCTTCTTGGCATCGTGTTTGTGGTGCTTGGCGTATTCATCCCATGTCAGGCTACACCATATGTACCAAGACAGGTTTTAAAACTTCTGTATCAATTCTTCATGTGCTGGTGTGGATCCCATGTTCTAAGGACAGTTGTGTAGTTTTTAGAGTATAAAAATTTGTCAGGAAGAGCGAAAGCTGAACATGTCTCTGCAAGGCCGAGTCACTCGTGCAACGTATCTGACAATTACAAGAAGTTGTACAGCGTGTGCTATTAAATGGGCCGTAACCCCTTCCTATAAACAACTTTATGTAGAACTAAACATGACTTACTACAGTATATGTAACTGTGCTGTTTATAGCTACACCAAGCCTTGCGTTGGAGTGGTATCGTGATAACGGTGACAATAAAACCCACAATAAAGTGTTTTCCGACTTGGTTACAATAAAACACATGATTTGACAACAATGCTTTGTTCTAATTGGCTGAACACCCAAAGCAGTCTGTCACACTGTAGCTTGAATGCCGTTCATGGTCAATGTGCAAAAATGTTCCCAGATGAGAATAAAGTGCCTCTCCCTCTCCTATAACATGCAGACTTCCTGGCGCTAAACAAGGAAATAAAGATAATGTCTCTAATGGTTATATAAAGATATGAACACCACACTGTTAGAGCATTATAAACAGATTGCAAAACCCACAGCACCCTTACCTCTCTATTTCATTTCTGTTTTAGAATAGCCTTCGTGAAAAAAATGCACAATTTAATGTATACATTTTTGTTTGTATATATTTTTGTTTGGCCATATCTACTAAACAGTGATTTTTATTTCTTTATTTTGTCGGGCACTGGGGTGTACCATTAAGCCCCAAATAGCCATACTGGAAAACTACTGCTCTCATTTAAATGCACAAAAAAAAAATCTAATATACAAAATTCATATAATGAGTAAACACATAACACCTAAAGTTGATCGATTGTACCATATTCCATAAACCAATCTTTTTATGGGACATCAGCTAAAGTTCTCACAAGTGTCTTTACAAACAGTCGGTAAATCTCAGGAGTTTGTGGATAGGATACAATTATGCCAAATGTAACGTGCATCGCTACATCGTGTATTCACAGGGAGGTGAACAAAACCATCAAACAGCCTGTGTTACTCCAGAGACGACTGCTAGAAAAATATTCTTTTCCAAATCTACCAGCGCGCTGGTCCTCTGAACAAGCTATTTGTTTGTGATCAAGGTGAGAGTCCTTAGCTTATTTATTGATGAGGAGGAGGTATTGTAGCTAAAGTCGCTGCATACTGCGCTATTGCAGCCTCTCTATTTCAGTGCCCTAAATGGTGATTGGCAGAAAATTATTTATATAAAGGTGTATGGGCCAGTAAGGAGAGTTCCCATAAACGGCGAGAGCTGACCCTATTACTGGTGGAGGTAGACATTTTGTAACTGCATGCTGTACAGTTGGAGGTTTCTTTTGTGTCCACTGGAGGGTGCTATTGGGACGAGATTATCTGAAACTGTTTAAATTGAGTATAACTGCTGAAGATACCTCCGGAAGAATTGCTTGGGCGCCAGCACCTGGTCCGCCGATTCAGTGTGCTCTGGCTGGGTCCTCCTTCCTGTGCCAATGAGGTGGCTGCTGGGACGAGATTATCTGAAACTGTTTAAATTGTGTATAACTGCTGAAGTCCCAGAAGCAAAAGACCAAGTTCTTCAAAGAATGCAGATTTTTTTTTCCATTTGTAAAAGTGATTTTCCAGCTCTCTGTTTCATCACTTCTTCAAGAAAGCATATCAATTAAACGGTTAGCAGGTCTTTATCCTCCACCCTCCATGACTCCTCTCCTGCAGCTGTCAAAAATTACCTACTAAACACTCAGCTTATATTTTTCTAACAACTTACTGCATACCCCTACTTATACCCTTTGTGTCACTATACCCCACTCCCTCTAGCATGTAAACTCACTGAGCAGGCCCTCAATCCCTCTGTTACTGTGTCACTATACCCCACTCCCTCTAGCATGTAAACTCACTGAGCAGGCCCTCAATCCCTCTGTTCCTGTACGTCGAGTTGTCTGGTTACAATTAAATGTCTGTTAGTCAACCCTTTGTACAACACTACAGAATCTGATGGCGCTATATAAGTAATAAAATAATAGTCTTTTAATGCTAAAAAATAGTCTGCAAGACTGCCACCTTGTGGGAGACAGAAAATACAGCAATTAACAAAGGAATTGTGTCCCTAAACTACGGTTAATATGAAGATTTGCCATGTTAGGAATAAGTTGAGTCAGATAGAGTTCTATTTAATATGCGCATAAATCGCTCCCATGCAGTACAATCATTTAACAACGATTTTTAGTTGTTTTTTGTTTATTGTAATGAATCATAGAGAGTAATGTGACACTGAATGACAAAACAGCTGACCACCGCTCCTACAATGTCCTCAGCCAAGAGTTACAGAGCTTTCTGCATTAACAGGGTTATATAGAGTCTTATATATCTCCCAAAATTATCACGAAAATGCCCACCTCTACCAGCAGACCATAGGGAAGTATTGGGAGGCTAATTCGCATGCGCAGCAGAAGGCCGGCTGTGCCAATCAACATCTCCTGGAGATGCATTGAATCAATCTCTATGGGGAGCATTCAGTGCCCGAGTGACTGCCACCGGGGGTGTTATTAGGCTGCAATGTAAACGCAGCCTTTTCTCTGAAAAGGCAGCGTTAGCATTGAAAAGCCTGCACGGACAGGATAGTGTCACCAGAACAACTACATTAAGCTGTCTTAAAAATATAGTGACCCTTTAATGTTAGGGTTAATTTAAGGGTACAGAATGTGTGAGTGTTAATGTTAGTATTACAGTTTGCGTCATTTAATTTGTGAGGTTTAGTCAGGATTAGCAAAGTGAAGTCAGGGTAAAGGTTAGCTAGGGCTAGACATAGTCAGTGTTTGACATTGGTTCCTATGCTTTCACAGATAATATCGGCAAATACCATTTCTGGGAAAGAAGCAAGCACAAGCTTGTTTGGAATGTGATCCTAATGGTTCTCCAAAATTCTGGTAAAGGTTTACATGTAAGATATTCCTGTACTTAAAAAATCCAGCACAATACAAATCCGAGCTGTGCAAACTAGTAAATAACACTAGACTGGTGAAATTCACCTTTAAATTTCAAAATGTGGAGGGGGGGGGGGAGGGATGGGGGGCAGAGCCTAGCAGCAGCGCTGACCGGTTGCATATTTTGAGAGCTCTGTGGCACAAAGCTCTCAATCAGCTCAAATTGTGTTTCTGAACGAGATCAGCAGCTTATGTTGGGGTTAATTTACGGCCTACAAAAAGGCCTACTCTCAGTTCATGTGAGGGAGGCGGCTGACCCCTCAGCATGCTTCTGTACACAAGGCCTCACCTTCATCCCCCCTTCCCTCCGTGCCTGTGAGGGATCTGGCACCTTCTACTAGTACAGTGGTGGGGAATTCCCGATGATCTAGCAACCAGCATCCTGCACACA